CTCTCATCTTTTTAAGTGGGAGAACTTGCACAATTGGTGGCTGACTAAATACTTTTTCCCCCACTGTAGGCCTACAGTTGAAGTCGGAAGTTTACATACACCTTAGCCAAATACATTTAAACTCAGTTTTTCACAATTCCTGACATTTAATCCTAGTAAACATTCCCTGTTTTAGGTCAGTTAGGATCACCACTTTATTTTAAGAATTTGAAATGTCAGAATAATAGCATTTTTTATTTCAGCTTTTATTTCTTTCATCACATTCCCAGTGGGTCAGAAGTTTACATACACTGAATTAGTATTTGGTTGCATTGCCTTTAAATTGTTTAACTTGGATCAAATGTTTCGGGTAGCCTTCCACAAGCTTCCCGCAATAAATTGGGTGAATTTACCCAAGATAGTGGGTTCGATCCCCGGGACCACCCATACACAAAAAAAAAAAAAAAAATGTATGCACGAATGACTGTAAGTCGCTTTGGATAAAAGCGTCTGCTAAATGGCATATTATTATTATTATTATAATTTTGGGCCATTCCTCCTGACAGAGCTGGTGTAACTGAGTCAGGTTTGTAGGCCTCCTTGCTCGCACACACTTTTTCAGTTCTGGCCACAAATGTTCTATAGGATTGAAGTCAGGGCTTTGTGATGGCCACTCCAATACCTTGACTTTGTTGTCCTTAAGCCATTTTGGCACAACTTTGGAAGTATGCTTGGGGTCATTGTCCATTTGGAAGACCCATTTGCGACCAAGCTTTAACTTCCTGACTGATGTCTTGAGATGTTGCTTCAATATATCCACATCATTCTCCTTCCTCATGATGCCATCTATTTTGTGAAGTGCACCAGTCACTCCTGCAGCAAAGCACCCCCAAAGCACCCCCACAGCGTGGTCCTCTGTAGCTCAATTGGTAGAGCATGGCGCTTGTAACGCCAGGGTAGTGGGTTCGATCCCCGGGACCACCCATACGTAAAAATGTATGCACGCATGACTGTAAGTCGCTTTGGATAAAAGCGTCTGCTAAATGGCATATTATTATTATATTATTATGATGCTGCCACCCCCGTGCTTCACGGTTGTGATGGTGTTCTTCGGCTTGCAAGCAACCACCTTTTTCCTCCAAACATAATGATGGTCATTATGGGCAAACAGTTCTATTTTTGTTTCATCAGACCAGAGGACATTTCTCCAAAAAGTATGATCTTTGTCCCCATGTGCAGTTGCAAACCGTAGTCAGACTTTTTTATGGCGGTTTTGGAGCATTGGCTTCTTCCTTGCTGAGCGGCCTTTCAGGTTATGTCGATATAGGACTCGTTTTCCTGTGGATATAGATACTTTTGTACCTGTTTCCTCAAGCATCTTCACAAGGTCCTTTGCTGTTGTTCTGGGATTGATTTGCACTTTTCGCACCAAAGTACGTTAATCTCTAGGAAACAGAACGCGTCTCCTTCCTGAGCTGTATGACGGCTGCGTGGTCCCATGGTGTTTATACTTGCGTACTATTGTTTGTACAGATGAACGTGGTACCTTCAGGCGTTTGGAAATTGCTCCCAAGGATTAACCGGACTTGTGGAGGTCTACAATTTTTTTTCTGAGGTCTTGGCTGATTTCTTTTGATTTTCCCATGATTTCAAGCAAAAAGGCACTGAGTTTGAAGGTAGGCCTTGAAATTCATCCACAGGTACACCTCCAATTGACTCAAATGATGTCAATTAGCCTATCAGAAGCTTCTAAAGCCATGACATCATTTTCTGGAATTTTCCAAGCTGTTTAAAGGCACCGTCAACTTAGTGTATGTAAACTTCTGACCCACTGGAATTGTGATACAGTGAATTATAAGTGAAATAATCTGTCTGTAAACAATTGTTGGAAAAGTTACTTGTGTCATGCACAAAGTAGATGTCCTAACCAACTTGCCAAAACTATAGTTTGTTAACAAATGTGTGGAGTGGTTGAAAAACGAGTGTATGTAACCTTCTGACTTCAACTGTATGTACAAATTGCATGACTGTAGCTCAAACGGTACAGGAGATGTGCTTGTTCAAAGTTTTCAGTTGATTACTATAGTGCCCCCCTTGGGCCAATCAGTGAAATTGTGTATAGGCCTAATCTCTGTAGGAAGACGCATCATTCACCGAATTTTCGTCAAAATCGCAAGAATGGGTAACTGCATACTTGAAGTGTGTCTGAAAGTGGGTGTTTCAAAAGATCAACAGCGATGGGTGTAACATCAGTGGGTGGCTCAACAGGGTTTGGTTTAAGATCAGAACTCCATTATTGGTTAGACCCAAGCCAGGTGCACAGCGGGTCAGCTTTACATTGCAGATTAAGAGAACTACCGTAGCAGGTTAGGAGAATTAACGTGGCAGGTTCGAATAATTAACATGACAGGTTAGGAGAATGAGGTTAAGGTTAGCAAAAAGGTTAGGGTTAGGCTTAGCTAAAATGCGTATCAGCTTAGGATAATTAACATGGCAGGTTAGGATAATTAAAGTTACAGGTTAGGAGAATGAGGTTAAGGTTAGGAAAAGTGTTAGGGTTAGGCTTAGCTAAAATGCTAGAGTTGTCAACAATCGACTAATCCTGTAGCCCAATCAGCCACGCAAAACGGTCTTGAGTGTCAACAAATCTGCCCAATTAGCTCATTTGCGTTCCATACACCCACTTCTGTTGAACCTCCCACTTCTGTGGAGACGCCCACTTTCAGACATACTATGCAGTTACCCATGACTAACGCAAGGTTGATTTCATCGTGGGGAACAACAACAAAAAATGTCTTATGCAAATTGGTCTATGATGAATTTATCTTTCACATTCTTTCTGAAATGTTTAGTAGTCTGGTAACATGCTCAAATGTCCTGTGATAGATAATTGTTGCTCCCAGTTGAATGACGCAGTTATCATCAGGCAGGAATGCACACGGGGCCGTTGATATTGGATAATGAACGAGGGGTTAGGCTTACCTCAGCCCAAATGGGTCAGTTAGTTCACTTGGTCAATCCAACAGGTTCTCTCATGCTGAAGGCCTGGCTAAACACTGTCACGTTGTGGTCTTAACCAGTAATATGTTATTAAATATATCTTCCAACATTTTTTTTAAATCCTGAAGGTTTTGTTTAACGCATTACAATAATGTCTTGACAGTGATACTTTAGGGTTTTTCTATTTATCCACCACTTCTACTCCTCCTTACTCCTCTTTGTATGCTGTCTGGATCAGCATCTAAAACTGCACACTGCCATCTGCTGTACAGACATACTAAACCTTTCTCTTAGTATACTTGTCATGCATGTGGTGATTAGTTACACATGCACTGATGCTTTACATGTTTTACATGTTACATTTTAGTCATTTAGCAGATGCTCTTATTCAGAGTGACTTACAATTAGTGCATTCATCTTAAGACAGCTGGGTGAGACAACCACATATCACAGTCATAGCAAGTACATTTTCCCTCAATAGTAGTTATAGTCATGCCCTTTCCTAAGTGTTAAGATGAATGAGCACCAGCTAAACAGATCAACAAAGACTGCACACCCACAGAATATGCAGTACCTTGCCCACACTCCTAAATGTTAATTAATTTATGCTTACACCTTGGCAATCCTTTTAACCCTCAATGACCAGTGACCACAGTCTGAGCCATCAGCCCCCCCCTTTGACCTTTCACTCACACACACACACACACACACACACACACACACACACACACACACACACACACACACACACACACACACACACACACACACACACACACACCATGCTCTGGTTGTCATCATGGCTGAGGGGGATTAGGGTCTGAAGTGGGGACAGCTGGTCTCTTCCCCCCTCTTCCTCTTGGTTGATGTGACAGACACAGAGGAAGGCAGAGGAGTTTAATTGTGTTGAAAGAGAGCAGGGATTAGTGACGCCTGTGTGTGAGGAAACCTGGCAAGGCCAAGGCAGTTAGGGGCTACACACTGCTGTGCCAACACACATATGCACATTGGTACACACATACGTGTGTACACACATACACACACGCACAAATAAATGCCCAAATGCACACTTATGCACATACACTGTGTGCATCTGGCATGTGTGTGCATGTACCATTTTTTTGGTGTCACTAACAGCAGTGTGACAAATAAACAAATAAACAAAACAGATCTACAGCAGAATGTAGAACAGGCACGATAGACGTCCAAGACAAAGCAAATAGCCACAGTCAACAATAAAAAAGAGAAATCGTCATCTGTTTCCCAGTTGTTGTTTTTAATGTATTTTTTTCCTCCCTCTCAGGAATACACTGAACGTACAACTCACAACAATACCAGACGTAGACCTCTGATTTGTTTTGTTTCGTTATAAAGATACAACATGAAACAAAGACAACGAGTTACAGACAACAGACTGTGAGACCAAACGACAATCAGCTTATTCACAAGATCCAAAGGAATGGGTCACACAGGAAACTGTCTCTCTTTCTTTCTTTCTCCACCTGGCACACCACAACACCCAGTCCTCTGTGCTTCTCTGTCTATCAGTTGGAGGAAGAGTCTGGAGTAATTAAGAGTTCAAAAGTAAACCACGATGACATGAAAGGTTAGGTTTTGTACAGTAGTAGGATGAGAGACTGCATCTCCATAGACTGCCAGGGTTGAAGCTACTGTACACATTTAGTTTAGTGACCCCTTCCTTCCATTGTGGTCCTCTGTAGCTCAGCTGGTAGAGCACGGCGCTTGTAACGCTAAGGTAGTGGGTTCGATCCCCGGGACCACCCATACACAAAAAAATGTATGCACGCATGACTGTAAGTCGCTTTGGATAAAAGCGTCTGCTAAATGGCATATTATTATTATTATTATTATTATTCTGTTCCACCTACTTTTCCCTTTTATGTTTGAATGAAGGAATTGTTTATGTGAGAACAATATTACATCCTCTCTACCTTGCCTCCTTTTCCAATACGTCTTTATTAGAGTTTATATCTATCAAATAAACAGTGAGTCAGACTGTTCAGCTCCAACTCTCATCGTCTTGACAGTGACTTATGACCTCAATCTCCCAATCCTGGAGTTATGTCGTCTTTTTGCATCCTTCAACTTTCTCCTCTTTTAAAAGAAAAGGCCAGGATGGCCAACTTACAGTTATCACAAATTAACTAAGCAATTTACTCACAGACAACAAACTGACAGACTACTCAACTGAATTTGGAAGCAATACAATACAAAATTCCCTACGATTTGACCCAAAGGTACAGTGAATGTCCATTGAGAGCACCAATTACATTGACTCTAGAGTAGACCCTTCGTCAGACCCATCCTCTGAACCCCTCCCAGTGGTCGGCTCCTTCAACAGCTGGGATCTAACAGGAGATTTAGCCAATCGGGGCATCTCCCCATCCTCTCCTTGGCTGCCACTGGCCAGGCCTTGTGCCAGGTCGTCTGCCGGGTCGTTGCTGGTGTTGAGGAAGGCTTGGTACTGGTTCCAGAAGCCCACATTGCTCCTGGTGGCCGGGGGGTTGGAGGACGTTGTCGGTGTGTTAGCAGGAAGTCGCTCAGAGGCCGAGCGACCGCTCCGTACAGGGGGACGTGTTGCCTTGACAACCCCTCCATGATGCTTCATATGTCCCTGTGGATGAATATGAAAATAACAGATTGTTTAAGTGACACTCTGACCAACCTCTGAGTCCCCCTTGCTGGAAAGAACATTTATATCACAAACATTTAGCTTGACTGATTCCCCTCAGTCTGGAAGGAGCTTTATCATCAGTGAATGTTTCTCAGTTAAATGTAACCTGAATATCAACTAACAGACCAAAGTAGTTTTAGTAGTAATGTCTGGTTCATTGGTTGCGATGTTTTGGACATCTAATGAACAATTCCACAGATTAATAAATCACTTCAAAGTAGCTATCATGAAGTCCATAAACATGTAGTCCATAAGAAAGGGCTAAGTTCTCTACCAACCCGCACATCAATCTATACCCACATCCTCTTACCTTCAGTCCACTGCGGCTGGCATACTCTTTCCCACACTCGGCACAGCTGTATGTCTTCTTCTCAGGGCGAGACAGGGGAGGGGGGAGAGTGGGAGCCAAACTGATGGGAACAGTGCTTTCCAGTTGGTCAGAGACACCACCCATCCCATCCTCCTTCCCATGGGAGCCAAGGTACGCCCCCTGACTCGTCTCCCTGGTGTAGGGTATAGCTTTCTGAGGATCATCCCTAGCCTCAGCATCGCTTGTGTCTGCGGTCTCTGATGGTGGTGCCATTCTGGGGTCCGTATCAGGCACAAGAGCTTGGTCATGCTTTGGTGCTGCAGGTTTGGGGGTTTCAACCCTGTCTTCCTCTGTGGGCTTGGGGGTTTGGAGTTTAGGGGGATGCTCTGGGTCTGGTTTGGGTGCTAGGTGGGTTTTGGGTTGCTCTGGGTTAAGGACAGGGGTAAAGGAGGGGGCTGGGCTGGGGTGTGCTAACGGGGCACTGAGGGTTGGGGTGCTCAGTAGATTCTCCAGGTTTGATCTAGGTCCAGGGAGGAAGACATCGAGAGGAAGGGCATTCTGACCCAATAGACAGTCTGACATCATTAGACTGGACAAGGGGGTGGTTTTGGTAACACTGGAGGAAGTGGGAGCAGGGCCAATGGTACCAATGGTTGAATCAAGGAGTTCAGCATGGTTGTCATCACTGACTGGGGAGCCTGTATCTCCTAGAGGAGGGGGTGGAGAAGGCACACTGACACACAGGACTGGGGGGTCTGCGCTGCCGGGTGGAGGGGTGTGTGAGGTGTTTAGGAAGGAGTCAGGGCTGAGGTCAGAGGGAGGGATCAGGTCAGGGCTGGAGGAGTGAGATCTGTTGGGCTCCCAGACACACTTTGGTGATGTCACACTGACCGATACGGGTGCGGAGCCTCCCACTAGGGTTTGAAAGTGTGTGGACGCTGCTGAATTCTTTGACTGGCTGCCTGAGGCTGCAGTGGAGCTCTCAGTGGAGACCTTGGGGGTGTCATTGGACTGTGGCTGGGAATGGGCCTGGATCTCAGAGATAGCATCAGGCTCTGCTGAGGCCTCTGACAGAGACTCTGGACCGCCCTCCGGTGGCAGCTGCCCTCCCAGATGCATGCGGATGTGGTGCTGCAGCACCAGGGCGTTTGTGAACTTGCGCTGGCAAAGAGGGCAAGAGTTCTGGGCGCGAGAGTTGGGCGGGCGGGCACGGTGGGTTGCCAGGTGGGACCGCAGGCTGCCCTTGGTGGAGAAGGAGCGTCCACACAGTTTACAGGGGAAGGGGCGCTCACCCAGGTGGGTGGCCTGGTGCAGAAGCAGTGCCCTGGGGCAGCTCAGCACACGCAGACACACCCCACACTGGTTGGGGGCCAGGGAGCCAGTGCTCATGATGCCAAGGCCGGGGAGCATGGCGCCTGCCAGAGCGCTGCCCCCGTTTGCGCTCATGCCCAGAGCGGCCACCATCTCCCTGGTGAAGTTGGAGACGGAGGTGGGGGCGTGGGTGGAGGACGATGGGGATGCCATCACATAAGTGCTGGAGGTGCTGGCGCCCATGAGGCCGCTGCTGAACAATCCAGCAGAGGCCATGCTGCTGTGGGAGGTCTCCCCTGAGGAGGAGGCCCAGGGAGAGGAGGTGGGAGGCTCCTTCTCTAGCTTCTCCACCAGCCGCTGCAGCTTGGAGGTGTCTGAGGTGGGGGTAGAGGAGGAGGGGGAGGAGGTGGAGGCGTAGGCTTTGGGGTAGTGGGAGAAGGGGAAGGAGAGCTGAGAGTGGGTGGAGGAGAGGTGGGAGGAGCCTGGGGCAGGGGGTGGAGGGCGGAGCAGGCCCAGGGCAGGGTGATGGTGGGGGGAGCCAGAGGGGAAGAGGAGTTTAGGGAGGTGGGCCAGCTGGGAGTAAGCAGAGTGTGACATCATGGGAGGGTGAGGGGGCGTGTTCTCATCAAAACGCTGCTGCTTCACCCCCTTGAAGAACCCAGCGATGGCGGAGGCGGACGAGGAGGGAACAGAGAGGAGGGAGGAGGATGCAGAGGAGGAAGAGGAGGATGTGAGTGAGGAAGCAGCAGAGGATATGGATGCAGCAGCGGCTGCAGCGGCGACTTGGTTGAGCCGCAGGAGGGAGTGGGCAGTGGAGATGAGGGCCAGGTCCACACTGGGGGGAAGGGGGAGAGAGGAGGGGGGAGCACTGGTGGACGCCCCCAGAGAGAAGCCCCCTCCGACACCTCCCACCTCCATACCGTCTCCATACGGGTCATCCTCAGCCCGCCGTTTACGACGTCTCTGAGCCTGCGCTGCGCTGATGCTCAGACCAATGCTGCTCATGGGCTGACCCTGGGGCTCAGACCCCCCCGCTGGTCCCATGCCCGGCCCAAACAGGGAAGGGGGGAGGAGGGAGAGCGAGAGCTCTGGGTTCTGCTCGCGGTGGCGGAGGAAGTGCACCTTGAGGTTGCCGCGGGTGGTGAAGCGGCTGAGGCAGACAGGGCACTGGTATGGCCTCTCGCCCGTGTGGGAGCGCAGGTGGATCTGCAGGGACGAGTCACTGCTGAACAGCTTCCCACAGAACCGACAGGCATGCTGCAGACGCCCCAGGGAGGAGGTCGAGGACCCCGCTGAGGAGACAGACAGGTGGGGCTCCTGAGAGGAGGGGGGTGCCATAGAGGCAGTGGTGGGCAGGGACGGGGTAAGGAAGGACAGGCCACCATGGCTGCTGGCTGACGTGGTGTTGGGGGATTTCTCATGGAGGTAACGGGTGGGCAAGGCCAGGGAGAGGGCCAGGGGGTAGTTGGATGAGGCCATGGTAGAGATGGCAGAGGAGGCAGAAGAGGAAGAAGAGGAGGAGGAAGGGCGGACACTGGTCCCAGGGTAAAGATAAGACTCTGTAGCCCCTCCTGCGCCCTCCATCTGGGACTTGTGTGGCCGCAGGACATGGGACAGGGGGTGGCTGGGCTTGGAGGGCTTGGAGGCAGGCTGGGGAGGGAGCAGGGAGGAGAAGCAGGCCAGCAGAGGGGCTACAGAGCTGGGAGGCTGGGTGGGTGTAGGCTGGGGAGGACTGGAGGCCCTCTCACTGGCCTCCAGACAGAGCTGGGGCAAAGGAGGCAGGAGGATCTGGGGCGCCTCCAGGGCACAGGAGGCCCCGCCCAGCCGCAGCACCTGCCTACAGATCTCCTCCGTCATCTGCATCTGGTGAATCTGCCTCTGCTGCAGCACCCGCAGTTCATCCAGGATCACCGCAATGCTCAGGTGGGCGCAGGGCGGGGCTGCAGAGGCAGCACCCGGGCTGGGGGAGGGCGTCACAGGGCTGGGAGGGCCTTCAGGTACAGGGCTGGGGCTGCCAGGGTGGGGTGGGGGGCAGAGGGAGGCTGAGGAAGAGGATGAGGAGGTGGTAGTGGTGGCTGACACGCCCAGCTTGGGAGAGGCCATGAGAGAGCGGGGAGGGTGGGTCTGACTGGAGGGCGTCGTGGAGGTGGTGTCAGGAAGGCGCAGGACTGTCTGGGAGAAGAGGGAGGGGTGGGGGAAGTCAGGGGAGAGGGAGGACTGGGGGTCTGTGAGGGAGATGGGGCAGGAGGTGGGCTGGCAGGGGGAGCAGGGGAGGGGGGAGCCCTTGCTGGGTAGAGAGGGGGTGTGAAGCCCCCAAAAGTAGGAACGTGGAGCCAGGGGTGGCTGGTAGCTCTGAGGAGAGGAGGAAGATGATGAAGAAGAGGAGTCTGTGGTCAGAGGAAAGGAGAATGACTTCACTGCCAACTGGTCATCTGAGAAAAGAAGAGAAAGAAGACGAGCGAGAGTTGACTTAGTTATTGTCTTACTGAGCATGACAGAACTTTGCATCTACTTTACACACTGTTACCACTTTCGCTTAATAAAACTCAGTGAAGTCTGTTTGAGCAGTGAGCACTACTCAGAATGTCCTTTTTGAGACTGTTTTCCACAGGTCGACCTTATCACGCTCTGATTATGGTCAGTGGATAGCACAGAAATGCAACTCTAGCAAATCATAGAGGTAACAATTACCAGATAGAAGAGAATGGACCTCTGAGAATCCATCTTATAATTGTGATTTTGCAAGTAGTAGCAGATAGGTAGAAGCACAACAGATAAGGAGTGAAGCCCTCAGATAACAACTATACATTACAAGACCATGCTGTCAGGTGAACTCCTGATCCAGATCCAATTTCACTCTTTGTTCTCTTCTCCATCACCTCATCCTCCAAACTCCCCCTTTCTTTCCTCATCCTCCAAACTCCCCCTTTCTTTCCTCATCCTCCAAACTCCCCCTCTCTTTCCTCATCCTCCAAACTCCCCCTTTCTTTCCTCATCCTCCAAACTTCCCTTCTCTTTCCTCATCCTCCAAACCCCCTCTCTTTCCTCATCCTGCAAACACCCCCTCTCTTTCCTCATCCTCCAAACTCCCCCTCTCTTTCCTCATCCTCCAAACTCCCCCTCTCTTTCCTCATCCTCCAAACTTCCCCTCTCTTTCCTCATCCTCCAAACCCCCTCTCTTTCCTCTTCACTTAATTCTTCATTCTTTATCTTCTCCATCTTCGTCTGCACCCCCCCCCCCCCCCAACTTACACCATGAGCAGCCTACCTTGTTTCCACGGCAACACAGTACAGAGGACAATGGACCCTAAAACCGCTTACAACCCTGACCTCCGAAAAATACATGCATACTGTATATAGACATGCACATGCACTCTATCACACACTACTCTCTCTCCTTCTCTCTCTCTCTGTCTTTCATCTCTTGGTGCACCCTTCCCCCATTACCCTCTGGGGTGTCAGGGGTCAGGCTGTGATTGGCTGGCATACTTGACCTTAAGAACTCTGGCGGTCACATTCCATCAACTAAATTCTGGGCCAGAGAGGAAGAGGTGGAGGCAAAAGAAAACACACAGGCTAGCAGACAAGAAAACAAACAGACCATCAACAACCACACATCACTAACACACACACACACACAAACACACATTTTAAATACTTTATTTGAATCCACAAACACAAACACACACACAAACACACACCTACATGTACAAACACAATATTACTACACCCAATCACTACAATGTTACTACACCCTATCACTACAATATTACTACACTATTCGACCCCACTAGCCCTGTTTGACTGGTCGCAGCCGCACAACCACATATAGATACAGACAGACACACACACACACACACACACACACACACACATTTTGAGATTCACACTAGTTCTTGGGTATGTTCATGCCTTACTGCTCAACCACAAAGCCCAGATGGACAATGGGGTCGCATGCTATTGCAGTTACACCTTATACATCACCTCTCACAGTCATCAGTCCTCTACCATCTCCCTCTCATTGCTCAGTCTCCCAAAACTCAATATGAATATTTGGAATTATAGAGTTGATAAGGGTTAAATAAATAAATAATATCTTATCTACACTGTATTGCCTCTGCATTCTCATGTCTTTTCTATTCTTTATCCTCCCACTAACTGGGTGGTCTGTGCCTCTGAGCCTGGCAATAGGAGGAGGGCTGGTGAGGGCAGTGAGAAGGAAAAAACGAAGAATCTAAATAAGAAAAACAGACTCCTAAGACACAATAATTGCAATAATATGACATTATTGCTGACATTAATAAGAGGAGCATCAAAGCATCACCATAACTTTAGATTTTGAACTGTCAGAGATGGGAGTCAACGTTTTCAATCAAACTATCACCAAAACTTTCCAGATGACAGGTAGAATATGCTGCCTCTTGAAGTTGTTGTTTTTATAGATGTGCCACTACACAATCACTGTTATGTAGAGGAAATAAAGGTATTAACTACCCAGAAAAATAGCTTTCCAAAAAATATCATAACCACTTGGCCTATTAATTAGAAAAACACGTTGAGCTACTTTGAAAAACATAGAAAACTAATGGCTAATGTATTCAGTTGTTAACTTGCATATCAATAATAGTCAATTTCTCACCATGCTCTAATATCTGAGAGGCTGCAGGGAGCGGTCTCATGAGCTGCTGGGGTCGTTTCTGTTTCCGACGAGACATGCTTCATCTGCACATGGGCCAACAGAATGCTTAGATTATTTTCTCCCTGCACACTGAAAAAGTGGTTAACTAAATTGCGCGAATTAGAAGCGAAGCGCAGATGAATTTTCCGCTAAAAATGTTCAACTCCGTTGGTGGCATCTTGGTGCAAACGGGAAGAACTTGTGAAGACTACAGGCATATGTGTCAATTTCTCTCAACAAGTCTTCTTTTCTCAAACTCCCCCCCCCCCGAGTGTTTGGGTACAAGTAGGCCTACATAAAATAGCATCCTCCCATAAAATAGCATCCTCCCATCATTATGGATATCCTATTCAAGTAGGTAGATCCAGTCAACTGCTTGGAAAGGATGATTGGCGGACGGTGAGAGCAGTGGTGCACAACCAATCTATTGGTGGAACCCCAACTTGGAATTCGAATGACCTCCCTACCAGCTTTCCGATGCACGAGCTCTATTAACAGGACACTGAATGAACAGGAATTCGCAACAATGGGGCAAGGACACAGCTGAATGAGCATCACCCTCTGCGAGCCTCTCGAATACACAGGACCACTGACGCGACGCACAATGCTTCCTTTTCAACCTCGAGCTCTACTGCTTATCACGTGGAGAGGTAATGAAAAGGAGAGACAGACAGAGTGAGGAAAAATATATACTTTTTTTACTGGACCTACCCGTACCCGCCCACGCGCGCAGGCACGCGCACACACACACATACACACACACACACACACACACACACACACACACACACACGTATACACACTACCCTGTGGTGTAGTTTCATGTACATTTGGTCCCCTGTGAGTCAAATGTTCTCTCCTTTTCAGCTGATGCTTTTCAGCCACAACAAGCACTAAAATGCTGTACGTATACTAATCAACCTAGGGGTTTCAACTCTACGATTATAGGCCTTGAGTTGTTACTGCTGGATGAAGGAAATTTACCACACACACATTTTACATCAAGCCAATAATTGCATACACACAAGATATCGGCTATATTGCAGGCCTGTTACGCAATCGATTAGCATTTACATTTACACACATTGTTTACACAAAACAAACTGGAAACAAGCCAATACTGTAGTATTGCAGGGCCTTATTAGGCATGGTTACCTACCATATAGTCTAAGCCCCAGTGCCCACAAATATGGGTACAAGCTCAGTTCCCTGTGTTGCACTTAAACTTATCACATAGGCCAACATGAAACCCTTTCATAAATGTTCAATAGGCCTAGGCTAGCCTATCTTGTATCAAATGTGTGTTCATGATTGTGCGTAATTCTGATTTTGACCGTGTCCTCCTGGTCTGTACACAGGCCCGCACATCTTGGGCGCACGTCGCCCCTCAAACACACACAAATACATGCTTAACTGTGTTGCACCCTCTGCTGTTTCCCCAAATCAGTTTTAAATAATAATTTAAAATCAATTGATAACATACATATTGTACATATCAAGCAATTCAATTATCATTTATCATCGTGGATTGTAGGCCTATACAAATATCTAAATATTAAAATAAGAAAGCCTGGTATTCGCCAAGCCTATTTAAGTGTATCTATAAAATACAATAATATACTATTAGGAAAAAAGGGTTCCAAAACGGTTCTTCGGCTGTGACCATAGGATAACCCTTTTTGGTTCCAGGTAGAACCCTCTGTGGAAAGGGTTCTACATGGAACCCGAAAGGGTTCTACCTGAAACCAAAAGAGTTCTACCGGGAACCAAAAATGGTTCTTTAAAGGGTTATCCTATTGGGAAGAGCCGAAGAACCCATTTAGGTTCTAGGTAGCACCATTTTTTCTTAGAGTGTAGGTTTCCCATTCACAGTTGGCGCCATAGATATTCTATTTAAGGGGCTATGCTTTGAGTCAACGATTAAAAATATATTTAGGGGCCTATTTGTCATAATAGCCCACATTTGTCATCCTTGCCTCCCATCATTTAGGCATTGAATGTATAGCTTTATGGTTTGGGATCAACGTGTCTATGCTGCCGGACAGTGATGTATGTCCAGATTTCACTGTTTGATATGGCCTACACATTAGCCTACATTTTAGAATTCCCTTTTCAGAGGCTTACGAGATATTTAGACAATCTTTCATAGCTAGAAAAAATATTTACAAGGTTTATACAAAGAAACAATCAAATCTGTTGTCCGTGTATCGCAAACTATTTCATTCTATTAAAACACAGCCTAATGTGCCAACAAAGCATTTGTGTTTTTCGTACCATCGCACCTTGACATTTAAAGCGACCATCTAACATTTCATACACGTCTGAGAACAGCGCGATAACTTCTGCTGTCCCGCTACTGTACCCGCGACCTGTTGCGTGCCTGCGCGCGCACTGATCATAACAAGTTATGATTTCATAAATTATTATGACTGTCCTAAAATATCGCTACAAATTGCTCATACCCTAGTTTGCGTCGTCGACATAAAGAAGATAAAGGAAATTACTCACCATGTAAGAAGCGATTATATTTGACAGTGGTTTACAAAATGATAAAATATGTTGGGCAATAGGCTACGTCTCCCAGTCGGGACATCAACATAGCCTTTTCCGGCATTCAGCCACAAAGATGCGCAATCGTCCCTTTGACAGCCGGGCGGAACACCGCATTGTTAAATTATTTATTTATATCGTCGCCGTGAATTTAGACTATATGATATCGTAAATGTAGCCTATCAATTCATTGTTTTTACTGACCCAGAGAAACAGGCGGGGGAGGTTGAAGATAAGCTACTATGCGGTAACGAAAGGGAATTGGATTAGTGTTCCTGTCATCCTCCTCCCCCAACACTCTTTGTAGACTATTTGGCGAGGGCGGCCTGCTTCTCGGCCTGCGTCTGTGGTCTCTGCGGCAGTGACGGCTGTCTGTTTGGCGGTCTGTCCGTCTTATCCGGACACTGTCCCGCTATAATTAATGACATTCGTCGACACCGTGACTTGGCCTAGGACACAGTCTGACCCTGACTAGACTAGCCTACCGACTGAGCCTTTTTACTGCCTCACATATTGCTCTGAAAACCACAACGAATTAAATAATCTTCCCCGTATTAGCCCATGGGGGCATTGTGCAAATCCTGTGTAACAGCCAGGCACAACTTGGATAGGGCCCAGCCTACCCTAGAAGTTCCAATGGAGGAATGTTCTTTTTCCACCTGGCTATCTTTTGTGGTCAACTAGACTATCACATTATAATGGTCCTATGTGTCTCCTTAGAATAGACCCCATTCTATTCTATTTTATTCTAAATCCATACATAGTGGGCTACATAGAGGAAATTCATTAAAGACCATGAAAATAATGCACTAGGACTATAGCAAAATATGCAGCACATTTAAATGGCACATGAAGAATGTTAACAACAGTCATTGCCACTGCCACACAACAGTCATTGCCACTGCCACACTTTTAGCAGTGAAAATATCATCCCACATCTCACAGACAATTACAGGTCTATGAAAATATAATACTCATATTCAAGCTTTGGTCAGACATGTAGGTCTACTGAATTCCCCACCAACGCAACTGTTATTATCAGGCTGTGTAGGCCAATATGTTATTAATAGACCCAGTAGATAATCTCTCATTGTGTTTTAGACAGCAGTGAGGTGAGTGTATTTGGTCTGCCCCAGCCAAGCAGCAAGCAGCAGGTTATGAAATCTACATCCCTTCATGAAGAGGAATGTGTCCATTAGGTGGCTCACTAACACCAAAAACAAGGTTGTGTTGCAGCCAGTGGATGCTTTGGGCATATTCGAGCTGATCACTTTTGTCAAGTCTTTCAAAGTTTGTTGCATTATGGGGATACAAATTGTATGACTTATGCCTACATGTGGACTGCATGAACTTGACAAAAATCATGTGATCAAAGGTCATGAAGTTTTGACTGCAGTCGACTGCATGTTTCTGCAAGCTTCACCAACTTCATCCTACAGAAATCGGCTACAATGTGGGAGGCTCTATTGTCAACCAATCATTACGTGTTTGTGTTTGACCCACACGAAAGTGACCAAAGACGTGACTGAAACAGGAACCAACTGCAAGACAAAGGAACTGATCGTGGACTACAGTAAAAGGAGGGCCGAACAGGCCCACATTAACATCGACAGGGCTTTAGTGGAGCAGGTCAAGAGTTTCAAGTTCCTTGGTGTCCACATCACCAACGAACTATCATGGTCCAAACACCCCAAGATAGTCGTGAAGAGGGCACGACAACACCTTTTCCCCCTCAGGAGACTGAAAAGATTTGGCATTGGTCCCCAGATCCTCAAAAGGTTCTACAGCTGCACTACTGAGAGCATCCTGACTGGCTGCATCACCGCCTGGTATGGCAACTGCTTGGTATCTGACCGTAAGGCGCTACAGAGGGTAGTGCGTACGGCCCAGTACATCACTGGGGCCAAGCTTCCTGCCATCCAGGACCTATATACTAGGCGGTGTCAGAGGAAGGCCCAAAAAATTGTCAAAGATTCCAGTCACCCAAGTCAGAGACTGTTCTCTCTGCTACCGCACGGCAAGTGATACTGGAGCGCCAAGTGTAGGACCAAAAGGCTCCTTAACAGCTTCTACCCCCAAGCCATAAGCCTGCTGAACAATTAATCAAATGGCCACCCGGACTATTTACATTGACTGTTTATATCTATGCATAGTCACTTTACCCCTACCTACATGTACAAATTACAATGGCTTGTGAAAGTATTCACCCCTTCTTGGCATTTTTCCCATTTTGTTGCCTTACAACCTGGAATTAAATTTGATTTTTTGGGGGTTTGTATCATTTGATTTAGACAACATGCCTACCACTTTGAAGATGCAAAATATTTTTTTTGTGTGAAACAAACAAGAAATAAGACTGTTAAGTTGCGTCAATTCAAATCTGGTATAGGAACAAAAAGAGGTCAATACACGTCTTCTAAAATAGACTAGTATTTTAATTAATGCAAAACACTTCAATGGTAAATATGATGTTCGTATATACAGGTC